TTGCGAAGATTTCACTTCTTCATATTTAACATGGTAATTCGGCTGATTTGAGCTATTATTGGAGTTCAGTCATGTATTAAAATATGTGTTAACTGTGTTTTCTTATGTGATAACTGACCGGTGTAGAGCGGATCCACGCAGGTGCGGCCGCAAGCGGTATTGCAGCATATCTTCTCTCCGCAGTCATCGTCGACGCTGCAAGGCGCAGCGCGCGCCGGACATGGTCCTCCTTCAGCCGGACATCTGCCTCGCAGCTCGGCACTAGCTGCAGTAGAAAGTGCTATTTAGACCAGCAATTTCCAAAATGGTCCAGGTTGATCTGGGGTCCTTAAAAGGCCTGACGCTGTTATTTAATTGTTATGAGGTTGTTATTTTTTTTAAATACTTTTATTACATTGCCGTTAACCGCAAGAATATCATCTGGCGACGCAGACAACCACTTAAAGTATAATTAAACAAATAAACTTATATTGTACATCTAATCAGCAAACTTTTATTGATAAATATAAAATCTTGACGTGACTTATTGTACACGAAAGAACATAAATTTGTCGCAGCAAGATTTACGCTAATGGTTGACACCGGGCTTCGAGTTTCGTTCCGAGAACTTGGCAATTTCAGATTTAATTATCCTTTGTCTTAAGTTCGGGATAAGGAAAGTACTAACTATGGAAAACAAATTAATGAGTCACTCGATTCAATTTTAAGATCGTACTTGCGATACGACAAATTTATACAAATAATTAAAGATAACGACCGCTTGGATCTTTTTAAAATTACTGCACACTTCGTAAAATTAAACGATCGTGACAATATCAAGGAGAAATGGAAATAGTTATAAGGATACCATAGTTTTTTCAACCTTAGTTTCGTAATAACATACCGTATTGCAGGAGCAATGCGCACGCGCAGAGCAGCGCCGCTCTCACCGCGCGCGTTGACATGCCGGCATCACCTCTGTGCGCACTGCAACAAACACATAAGCATGAATATTACACAGAATGCACAAGACTAATGTAGATGGATTATACCCTTCCATTTCTAAGTCAATGTAGAGTATACAAAAAAAAGTATATAATCCTGGCAGGTTTAATTTAAATTAGGAATTTGGGAATAAAGAAAAAAGTTCTGTATTCGAAATATAAAAAAAAACTCTAACAACCGTAATGTCGTGATTTCAGAAACATAAACAATAAAGCAGCTATAAAAGATTTGTTGTATAAACGTCCGTATAAAAATTGCTAATGAAAAAGCATGACATTGCTAATGAATTAGAAAGGAAAGTACAACGAAATAAACAAGAGCGGCTGTTGGCAACGTAATGAATCTTATATAACTTTTGAACAAAACCAGCTTTTTAAGCATAAACATTTTTTAACAATAGAAAAAAATCTTTTCGGCTTTCGGCCAGCATTATTTTTTTTACCAAACAAGCAATCAGTAATTTGTTTTTAATTTTTTTTAAACAAAGACAATGTGTATCCATTGTTCTGTAACCCTGTGTATCGACTCTTGAAGCACCTTCGAAAACATCTGTCATTTGTCATCCCTTTCATTTTCTTTGAATAAACAAAGACAGTATACGTGTTAATATACGTATTTAGCATTCAACTAATGTTCCGAACCTATATTTGTATGAAGTTTTGCGACGTGATTCATTGTTAGTTACAGATGGTAAGGCTCGTTTGTTTGGAAATCGACCTTGTAATAAATGTTATTTCATTAATTACATTCGAGGTTAATTAATAAAACTAATCTGTACTTCCATTTGGCATAATATAAGTCTATTTAAAACGATAAATTAGAAATGTACCAACATTTGAAATCGAATCATCTCAAAAAACTATACAAAGTTCGACGTATTATTTTAAAATAGCTTTCGCCCGCGACTCCTTCCCCGTGGAATTAAAAAAAATGCCTAGCCTATGTGTTCTTCCAGACTATCCTCCACATCTATACCAAATTTCATCAAAATCCGTTCAGCCGTTTAGGCTACAAACTCTAACAAACATCCATCCATCCATCCATCTAAACTATCGCATTTATAATATTAGTAAGATAGTTAGGACATGTCCATCAAATTGTAAATTGTCTGATAACAATCTAACGTGTAAAATATGTGACACAATATCGGATTTTGTTACCTTATCTGACAGTGACGTTATTTTTAAGCCAGTGGAGGGACAGGTCCTTAATGTCGACAAATGGAAAATATTATATGTTTAAATGTATACTTTTCGTATATGTATATTATATATAACATTGATTAAGTGCTTTAATATATCATTACTTTGATATGAATCATGTAAGGAATATTACGCTCGTTTTATGAACGAATTTAGGTTAAGTGGCCACTTGTAAGTACGTGCCCGATCGGCGATACAGCGTTTAAATTTATTAGGTAATTGGAAATTTATTAGTTTAATGCCTCAAGCGGTGCTTTGTGATACATTTATTGGAAGCCATATTTTGGCAGAGACTTTTTTAAACTGGCTTTATAAAGCGAAATTAGAAGAAATTTATTTGTAACATCCTTTACACGCAGTTATTAAATATACGCTACAGCAAAAATTCGACTTAACTACTAAACTCCTCTCATTTTTTTACAAATTTAAAAAGAACTTAGTAACCTATGTGTTCCAGAGTATATCCTACATCTGTGACAAATTTCAACAAGATCTGTTAAGCCGTTTTGAATATACTTAGTAACAAATATCCATCCAAACTTTTGCCTTTATGATTCTTCTTTTATGGAGATTTTTATGTAGATTTCATCGCTTACGGAGGGTCGGCACAGTATGTGCTGCTCTTCCATACATCTCTACCAGCCGTCATATCTGAAACCACTCCTTTCTTAAGCATATCCTCTTTCACACAATCCATCCATACTTTATTCGGTCTTCCTCTTCCTTTGTAGCCATCCACATTCATTCTTAGCACTTTCTGGTTTATTTCCCCATCGTCTCGTCGCATAACATGTCCATACCACGCTAACCTTTTGCTTCTTAATTTCTCCACCACTGGCGCTATTATTATGATATTAGTATGAAATTTGATAATGTGATCGTTCAATGATTACACTAAACATTTTTTTAATGATAATAGTAAACTTCATTATTTTTGTACTTTTTATGTAAGTAGGCGAAGCTTTTACCTTGATGTTTTTAATTAATCGTCCGCTACGATCAACATTCTGATAATTTTCAGTAGTAAACAATTTTAGTTAATAAACAAGGGTATTTAAAAAAATAGTGTCACAAAATTTTCAATTCATTTAAAATTCAAAGATAATGAGCACATTCAAACGGAGATATTTAGTTTTTGTAAAACCTTTGTTGTTGAATAACGATATAATTTTTTTATAGTCTATTCTATTTCACTTTAATTAAAATACAAATAGTTATAAACTATGGTTATATTATACACGCAACCGAATAATATTTGTCTCCCGAGACAATAGAAGCTCGAATGTACAATATTAAAATACGGCCCTAATTAATCTCGGCGCCATTGCGAGCGAAAGGCAAAGGACACAAATCTTTTGAGCCGCAAGCAACTGGCAAATGCGTAAACATTTTGAAATAATTTTCTCTCGGGTCTTATTTACGGGCGATGTTGAAGTTTACTCGGGATTTTGCAAATATTTTAAGAGAGGCTTTGTTCGGAAATTAATTGCTCCTTAAAATCTAAAATTATTCCTCAGGGAAATCGAATCGAACTTCGAACAGTAACATAATATTTTTTAACTGATTACTAAAATAACATTCGATTATTAAATTAATGAATTCTAGCTACTCAGTTTGTAAATCATTCCAAAATTACGTTTCTTTTGATAAAAAAAACGGCGATGATTTTGCAACGTAATTCGGAACGTAATTTGGAATGCGCGGGAAAGCCCGGCGCGAAGTGGCGCGAGGACGCATGCGCGATGCACAGCACCGACATATCGATGTTATATCGACGAGTGAGACGACCTGACGAATCGTTAATACGTTACCATTAAAACAGGATACCTATTAAATTTCAAAAGCGTTTAAAGTTTCACGGAACAGCAAAGTATTTATATCGTATCGATACGATACTAAAAAGTATTGTCGGTAAGGATGTACATACTTACTCGATTGGTAATCGATTCTGGTGTAATACTTTTGTTTCTTTAATCGATTAATTATCTATGCTATAAATAATAGTTGTATGTTTGATTTTCTGTAGATATGACAAACGCAGTAATCAAAAAGACATGAATAAGTTTAAGTTAGTTTATTCTTAGTTAACTTTAACTTTTAACGTTTTATAATAATATTGAACTTGTCGGTTCATCAAACAAGGAGAATCTGAACATAGTTTGGGAAATTAAAAATAAAATAGCAGTATAAAGTAGCTATTATAAATCAGTACACATAGGCGTGACTTTGCTAAGAAAAAGGACCGAAACGCGATCCAACTGGCACCAAGTGTGGAGAAAGTAAACGATTATGATGCACACAATGAAGTAATTATTACGTAATATCCGCACTTCAATCTCACGCATGACGCTGTAATTAAAAGTTATTTTCAAATTTTATCTATATCTATACTAATATAATAAAGCGTAAACATACACTTCTTTGTTGCTTAAGATGTAGGCAATCACAGCATATTTTCGAATAACTCTTTATTTAATGAAAAACCCTACACTTACGTCATGCTTTTGGTTATATATTTTACGCCGTTAAATTTAGGGGTAAATATTATGGATAAAAACGCTAATGTGGGAAAGAGACCATAAGTTGTTGCCAACATCAAGGAAGCAAGGTTGCCATGGTTTGACATCATGTCATGTCATTTTGACATTTGCAATGGATAAATTGACAAATGTTAGCAATAAAATGAAATTTTTATAACTTTATGCGGATGAAGTCGCATGTGAATACTAATATAATACAATATTAATAGCAGAAAATTATGATAACTTTTTTTAAGTAAATAGAAAAACAAATAAAGGCATTTGATTATTATACAAACACCATAAAAGCAGTAAAATCTAAAAGATACATAAAACACATGTTTAGGAAAAGAAACGTAGTAAATAACATTGTCAATGAAATGCCTACACAAACACTAGCTTACGTCGAACAAAAAAAAAAACTCCGACATCAGTTAGTTCAATGTTATTTACATATAAAGCTTTAATAGTTATGGTTAGTTATTCTTATTGCGAAAGAACAAACTAATACTCCTTTGTGTTTCTCCCAAAGTCATGTCGCAACGAGCAGAGTGACTGAACTCTTGACGTATCAAACTGTGACGCAAGAACTGACTAGCTAGTGAAAGGTGTGGATGCTCTATCTTTGACTTTACCAGCTCATGTTATTTCAAGCTATTACAGACTTTAAATTGAAATAGACAGAGTCTATATTTGTATAAGTATTTCCAATAAGGTTTGGTAAATAATAAAAAAGTGTTATTTTGCTAAACAATTATGTTAAACAAGTGTAAAGTAAAAATATTTCTATCAATGTTAATAGCGATCCGAAATACAAAATATTTTCATCACATGTATTGATTATTTATTTTTGTACAAATTGTTCGGTGTTAGAAACACGATGATATATATTGGCACATTGTCATTTATCTTAAATCTCTGGGACATTAGAAAGTGTCACATTATAAATGTCAAGATTGTTACGTTCTATTATTGTTACAATGTAAATTAACATAATAAGTTTGTGTGACACCTTTTTAATGTTACAAATCTTTAGCTTAAGCCTATTATAGCTTAAGCGAAGTGAAAGCAAATCCAATTGTTACAAAATAATAACTTCGAACTAAGAATAGTAACTGATAGCAGTATTCGATTGGTGCAATCGAATCAACGATAATAGATTGACTAAGCTATCGCAGTCGGTTGTGCGATTGTCGATTGTTTCGCAGCCAATTTAACTGTTTAGTTGCACAAAAAGCGACTAAACAATTGTGCGATAGTT